TGAGTGTATTTTAATCTTTGTTTTTCTGCTTAATTAACCCAAAAATGTTTGTTTTTTTGTTTGTTTTTTCTTAGTGTGAAATTAATGGTGTCATTTTAACAATATGCTGTAACTCATTGACCCCTGTAGCGCACATAATGTTCAGAGAACAATGCTGCTACAACTTGTCTCTCATACATGGGCAAACCCAATAAGCATAAAATTGTCTTTTTAAGATTTAAAAAAGTCGATGTAATGGAGAGGTGGTTTTGTCAAGTTTCAAAATTTTGCCCAAGTTTGAGGAACTCGCCGCATTGTTTAAACATTATCTGCTGGCAGGGAAGCTGGTGTGAGGATGAGCTTGTGTGTGTGGGTTGGATGTTTAGAATTTATTTCACTATAAATTTAACCTCACCTGAAAGCCAAAGAGGTGTTTCTTTACTGTTTAAAAAAAAAAACGTTGAGTGTAGTTTTATTTGCTTGAGTGTTGTTAAACAACGTTGAAACACTAAGCGTGCTGTGAAGAGTGTTGTGACGTGTGTCTGTGTGTTTTTCAGTTTGTTTTTTGTGCTGTTTTCAGCCTCAGCAGAGCTAATTTGTGCTTCACCATGTGTTGTGCCTCCGACACTTGTTTGTTTGTTTGTGAGGGTGTGAGTTTGTGTGTATATTTAAACCGCAGGAGTAAAAAGGAAGGATTGACTCAAATAAACCCATTCAACCCGCCTTTCTGATTCATTCCTCCCTCTTCACCCTCATTCTGATGCCACCACTGACCATCCTGGCCCTGTTCCATCCCAGAAACACACATGTGCCTGTTGACACACAATTTTTTTAATTAGTTTATCAATTCTTGGAAAATATTAAGTGTAATATAAATGAAGTATTTGCCTACATGACAGTCCCTAAACACCTGGTAAAAATGCAACCCTTAAAATAAATCCTTGTTTTACTGTGGATAGAGAATATTGTCAGCGTGTGTGAAGATAGTTGAACTATCAGGCTGTTGCGTCGCCTTGCTCTAATTCAGTAATGCTTTGCATCGCAATCATCAGATCTCTCCAAAAAGTAGTCTGTAAACCAATCTGTTTTTAATGGAAATGATTATTTACATAACAACCGCAACACTGATTGTTATAACGGTGCTCTTTTTCCACAGTGTAAAATTCTTCATGTTAATTGGTGGTAAAATATTTCGTTTTATCAAAGTGTGAAAGGAATGGTTACTTAGTTTGCCATTTTTGCCGCTGTCAACTCATATAGATCTCCAGTGGCTACTTGCGCTTCTCTTCCTGTTCAATTATGCTTTAGGAATGATGATTTTTGG